TTTAGACCTCATTTCAGACCTTGTCATTCATAAACTGGATCCATCAGGACCCCTCTTTATAATAAATTCCACTCTGTGGCAAAGGCTAGGACAATGATCCTTCAGGCACTTGTAATATATATATATTCTCCTACGTTAATTTGTCCTCATGTGTTTTTAACATGTCCAGCACATTAGTGGTTTACAAAATGTCCCCAGGAATCCACTTAGGTGCTTCAGGAGGTTTGAAAAAAACTGGATTCAAATCTTTTGTAAAAATAGATCACTTTACTTATAAAAATACAATTAAAAAAATAACCTGCCACATTTTCACAAGTCATTACTTTATGCCACCTGATTCTCTGCCACCATTGTGCATTTAAACTTTGTATGATCGTTTAAAAAAATGGTAGTTCTGCATTACTCTTAAAAAAAAAACCAACAATTTAGAGCAACACAGACTATCAGTTTATGTAAAATTGAATCAGCCTGCACAGCACAACATACAAGGTCCAGGCACATCTAATTATCACATATTCCCATCAAGGTCTAACAGGGAATTGTGCACAAAGAAGGAATGGCTTGGGCGCCTGGGTGGCTCAGTTGGTTAAGCGACTGCCTTCGGCTCAGGTCATGATCCTGAAGTCCCGGGATGGAGTCCCGCATCGGGCTCCCTGCTTGGCGAGGAGCCTGCTTCTCCCTCTGACCCTCTCCCCTCTCATGTACTCTCTCTCTCTCATTCTCGCTCTCTCAAATAAATAAATCTTTTTTTTTTAAAAAAAAAAATAGAAGGAATGGCTTAACACCTCTCTTTATTGTTCTACACTTAGGGTTAGTACTTGGAGTATTCTATTTTTCTAGCCTTTTATATTTATAAGCATGTGAACCATAGTTGGGTATTTTGGGTGATACAACTTCAAAACAAAATTTTTCTACTTAGCTCCCTTTTCACATGCAATCTGTCTAGCAGAGTATCCAGGCATTGAAAAGTGAGCTCTTTACTAATCGTTACATCTGAGTACATCAGAATTTTCCATGCAAGCAAAGCCAGTTGAAGATACCAACTGAAGACCATAGAGGGGGCTGTTACAACCTTAACTGCCATTCACACTGATTGCTGTCCATTTTGTGTTCATGAGACAGACACATTCTTCCCACCAGCCACTTTATCAGCAAATTTTGTTTGAAATACAGTTAGAATTTGAGCCCTTCACTTCTACTGCTACCACTTGAGCCAAGCCACCATCCTCTCACGAATTATTTCAGCACCCCCTCTCTTGTCTCCCTACTTTTTTACCCCCTTGTGTTCCTATGGCCTATCTGAGGACCTCAGTCATGGCACTTTCTTCCCAACACTCTCCCACGACTCCCCATGCCATTAAAATCAAAGGCAAATTCCATACAAAACTGCACAAGGCCCTGGGTAGCCTGCCACCTAGTACCCTTGCAGACCCCATCTCCTGTGGCCCCCATTCACTCCCAACAGCCTTGACTGCCTCCCCATGAAGGTTCCTTGGGTCCCGGGCACCCGCTCACAGCAAGGTACTTAACCTCCATGGTCCTTCCACCTCAAGCACTCTTTGCTCCCTCCTCTCCAAAAGGTCTTTCACCAAAAAGTATTTTCTCAATGAACCCTTTCCAGGCCATCCTTACTTACAGCTGTACCCCATGCTCCCTGTCTCCCAGGATTTCTATCACTTGTCATCATCTGAGATAATCCTTGCTCAAATTATTGTCTCCCCCGACTAGAGTGTAACCTCCACAAGAACAGAGAATTTTATCTATTTTGTTCCCTTCTATATCCCAGAATCCTATAACAGTGCCTGGCACAGAGTAACCAGGCACACAATATATATTTGTGGAATGATTATGATATTCTAAATTCAAATCTATCACAAAATCCTTACCAATAAAATACCATGTTTAATTGTTGCCTCTCATGGGGTCACTTTTAGGGTTTTGTTTTGTTTTGTTTTTGATGAAAAAAGTTTTACTGCCACAGGAAAAAAAAACTGTCTAAAATTGTAAGTTACAGAGAAACGTTTGTCTTCATTATAATTTGGGACTATTTATAGTTCTCAGCATAATACTCCAACCACCACCCTGATGGCACTCATCCAAAAGCCACACATCCTTTAGAAAAAGAGTCTCTCTCTACCCATTATTAGTCTTCACATATGTACAATAGGGATGGTCTATTTAAAGGGGGAGTTTTTTTAAAGAATCTTCTCACTTGGGCTTACATCATCAACTTGAAAAAACAAGGCTCTCCAGGGTTTTCCTTTTCTACCACTGCCACACTGTGATCATAATTTTTGCCACATGCCTCTGTTCAGCCAGCATTTTTCTCTCATACCAGTTTCATTGGGGTACCCAATTTTTGTTACACACACATCAATTTGTATATACTTCTGTGAAACATCTAACACACCACAGATATCCTACTGAGCTCAGTGTAACTCATATGGCCAACCCATGGCTCATGGCCCATGCAGACACTTTTTCCTAATCCTTAGCATACAGCTCTTCTTCCCAATCTCCACCTCCCTGCAGTGGATACTGCTTAGCCTTTATATGATTTTAGAATAGCTCTGCTGAGCTTTGTAAGTTGAAGCTTCATCAGGGAAAGATCAGGAAATTTTCAGAATCCAGAAGTGTCAGTTATGCCCATTTTTAAATCTTTTCTTCTCAATCTAATAAATTCTTTATCCTAATATTGCTTAGCTTACTAAGAGGAATATCTGCAGAGTGATAATTTGATAATACATTTACTCTCAGAGCTTACAAACTTTAAAAAGAAGTGTCTTATAATGAACATCTTAGGCACAACAGACTAATTTATTGGTTGCTGTTAAACACAAAAGACTTTTCAGTCAAGGCAGAGATGTGTCTGTGGGTTTTATATTAATATATGCTATATCAAAATAAACAAATTGACATTTTGACAGTAGAAATGAGGGCGCTGGACAGAGCTGATACAGCTGCATCCAATTCTACCTTGAAATCACCAAAGAAGTGTGAAGTTATACAGTTTACATAAAAGTCAATAGGAAGTGTTTTATTTCAAGCCTTTGATCCTGATGGTTCAAAGTGAATAGCATTTGCACACTGAAATTTAAGCACTAAGCCCACCTCTGTAACCATATCGAAGTAGAAACCAAGTTTTTGTAATACAAAATACAAAACATTCCTGTATCACAAGGTTGTGAACAGAAAAATAAGCACATGGAGTCAATAAAATACAAAACTTCATCAGCTCTACTGATCTATATAAGTTTACACTGAAAGAAAAAAAAACTTCTGCTTGACAGGATTCTAGACACCAAACTGAAAATTACATGTCATATCTCTTTCAACTCTTGTTTAATCACGTTCTGTGATTACTATTCACAGGAACATACTTTTTTTCCTGAAATATTTACATTGACATCTGAACCATCACTGTGATCTCTGCTGTTTCAACTTCCTTCTTTGGCAATAATTCATTGCTAGAAATACCAGCATGCCTTACTATAAAACCATATTCCACATACAAGTAAGTAGCCTGTTGCTATTCTGTTAAAAACAACAAACACACAGAATCCCAGATTTTATAATCATTATTTTTTTTTGTTAAATCTGCTATTCAAAAGATTCACTCAGCATGGGAGACAATGGCAGTCATCATTTCTAGCTTTACCCAGCATAGCACCCACAGACCAAAATCACAGAAAGTATGAGCCGTCCAGTGTCCTATGGAGAAATCCCCATAAGCAGCTGGATACCATGTTAGACATCCACACCTTATTCTTTGTGTGTTGAAAATGGGCAAATCTTCTCAAATCAAAGAATCTGAAGGTTGATATAAAGGAGACAGATTTTTGGTTTTCAGTTTGTAAGGCACTCTACATCTTTTTGTTTTCTAGATCAACATTGTCTGAAGAGTCTGGCAGGAGCAGCACTGTTCCTGTCAATGCTGACTCCTGGGGCTTGACCCGTGGGCTGCGTGTCATTTAGGTTGGGTGCGGTCGGTGGGGGTAAGAAGAATTAGGCTGGAGGGAGGATATGGGTTGACTGTGTTGTCTCAGGGTTGCCTCATGGTATTCTAAAAGGACCTAGCATGGGCTTCAAAAGCCGTGAGATTTTCTCAGTGCCCTGCTGCCTACTTGACCACTACATAGAACACTACTTCAACACGTGATGTCAAGACCTCACTTTACCTACATTTTACCACTTTATGCTGAATTCTCTCAAACCCAGGAGTCCAGGACAGGAGAAACTCCAGATCATTCAAGGTCGCAAGCACTGGGCACCACCAACATCACTTCAGCTGAATGAATTTAGCAAATCAATACAAACATAATTCAGTGCCCTTCAAAACAAAGAATATGGATTTCATCTTCTTTGCATAGTTTTCAGGTATGTAACAATTGTCACACTTCATAACTGTGGGAAAGGACGGCTATTGTCTGTGCTGCATATCACTAGATACCACTGAAAACCTGGAGATTAATTCTCATAAGAACTTCCAACTGCACAATGAATCAATACTTTCTCCAAGTTTTACTGCCATTGGAACAGTTCCACCTTAACCGAGCCTGCACAAACATTTGAAAACCTGTTATGCTTATTAATGCCTCTTAAGGATGAAGATCAGCATCTATAGCCATCCTTAGCTCGGAAAGTGCTCCTGTGTAAGAGGACTTCATTACATCCTCATTTCCATCCACCATCCAACTTTCACCGACTGCAATCTTACCTCAATCTAAGGCCAGCCATCAAAATGACCACGAAATCACTCAAGTAAACGGCCCAAGTTTTCCTAACCAGGCCCTTCCACCACTCTCTTCCAGGCTAACAATGCCTTCTGATGCAAGGTCAAGACACCTCTCTGCCAAAGCGGTTCTTCCGTGTCCCTCCCGCCCCGCGCCGAGTCTCTCCCGGGAACACCTGTCCTCTTTTCGTGCTACGCACGCTTCCCTGAAAGCCACGAGTCGGCGCCCAAACCCACCGGACGTGAGCCCCGCGAGCCCAGGACTTACGTTGTTCATGTACTCGCTGAGCAGGTCCTGGAGCGCCTGCCGGACGGCGTTGCACTCGGCCACGATCCTCTCGCGCCGGTCGTCGCGCGTGCAGGACGAGTCGGCCATGAGTGCCGCGCCGCTGATGATGCTCTCCAGTCTCTCCTCGAGCGACGGCCGGAACCTGGCCTCGCTGAACGTCATGGGGTCCAGGATTATCTTATTCTGAAAGCAGCACCATGAAAGAATTAGGGGAGAAGACACGACTGCCTTTGCGCCCTGTTTTCTGAACCAGAAATGTTTGCAGCCAGGGCAAGACTCTCCATGGAGAGGCAGCTGGTTCCGTAGACCAGTACCAAAGTGGCCTTGACCAAGTAGCAATTGTCCATAAGATACTTTCCCCCGAATCTAATCGTCAGGGAAAAAACAGCACATCTTGTTTCAAGAATGTGTTCTCGGAAAAGGCTGCATCAACCAAAGGGTTTTCTAACGAGATTATGACACTGGCTTTGCTGTTTTTATTTTTTATTTTTTTCTTTTTACATTCATAGCCTTCAAGGAAAGCACATTTCAGGGGAGCACTTTGAAGGATTATGAGAAGATTTTAGAGCCCCAAAGCAAGAACATGATATGTAATCAATGACTTAAAGATCCATCAGTGACTAGTGTACACATTATATCTATTTCATGAGAAGTGGAGAGTCCCATGGCAGGATGCCTTCTGAAACCTTAGCAAATAGCATCCAACAGAAATATACTTTACAGGTTACTTCCCACTAGAAAGTAATATATTTTGTATAAAAAAAACTAGTGTTCTAGAAAAGGATTCATTATGTGTGAGTGAGAGATTTGTTACAATTAATTGACAGTATCATGATAAAGATACTGGCATGTTCTGAAGGAGCCTAGATAAGGGAAAAAATAGAAATGTTTCCTTAAAGGAAGGTGTTGCAGAGAACTTAAGCTTCACTTTTCCCCTGCTAATTCTGAGGAGCCTGGAAACATGTAGGTGAGGATGTCCAGAGGTGGGGGATGTCCAGATACAGAAATAGGCATCCAGATTTCAAGAGATAAATCAGCCTCTATGAGGACCTGTGGATCATCAGGGTTATCTGGACACAAGACAGTGACTGGTATACTAATAATGTCAATAGAACAAGAAGACCATATAAGACCCAATTAATACCAATTCCTAGGGTGTGCAGAAGGATGAGAATCAAAAAAAAATGAGATCAAATAAATAGCCAGATAGGATAGGAGCAGAACCTGGAGAATATTATTCCCAGCATGTCAAGGGAGTGGAGAGACACAAATTGTGTGATAACTACATGAAAGAGACAAAACTGACTTTAATCAATGGTTGGTTTCCTCCGGGGCCCCATTTTCTGCTCAAAACAAGGAAGATCATTCCAACAATGCTAACTAGAGTGGAAAGACCTGCTGCAGGAAATGGTATGCTCCTCTTCATAGAAGGTACACACTCAGAGGTCTGAGAACCAGAGTGGCGGTAATGGAGTAAATGGTCTTCCAACACTACAATCCTGGGGTAGGATTGCCATTTCATGGCAACTTCCTTTGATTTCCTAATTCCTTAAATGTTCATCAGATTTTAAAAACTGACATTACCTACTAGAATGCTTAGTACTAAAAACCAGTGGAGACTATGAAAGGCACTTGTGTGTTTTTTTTTTCTAATGGAATATAAAATAACTGCTTAGTTATTACAAAATAGGTCTGACTATATGCTCTGGCAAAGTTTGCCCTAGCCTTCCAATGTACCCTAAGGCATTTGCTGAAGGTTGTGCTCCAAGCATCAGTGGCTCTGACTCAGATTCTCCTGTTATAATGCACATATCTCCATGGCAGAGATCCTGTCAACACAAGGGCTATGAGGTGTCGAGGAATGAGTGCAGGTGGGGAGAAAAGAAAGGAAAGAAAGAAAGAGAGAGAGAGAAAGAAAGGAAGAGAGAAAGAAAGAGAGAGAGAGACAGAGAAAGAGATGGAAGGAAGGAAAGAAGGAAAAGAAAAAAAGAAAAGAAAAGAAGAGCATCCACTGAACACAGACCAGGTCTGAGGTCCACTGGAATCTTGGATTTCCTAGGAAATTACTCATTGGTCAGTTTAGAGGGCAAATGCATAAGGTCATGCAAACAGAAGATAAAGCTTTTCTGTGGCAGGTTTTGGCATAAAGACCAGCTTCACATTTTTGCTTAGATCTTAGAAAGAAGATGATTTGTTACTTCACTCAGACCAGTATGACTCAGACCCTGTGCCTTGTGCACTAGTAACCCTCCAAACGGTGTCAAAACATCATGAAGAGGCCTCAGTGCAGGGGATGGCTTTGCAGCATGTATCATTACAGGGAACATTCACAAAGGCAGGCTGAGAAGGGGAACATTGACGTCCCTGCCACACTGGCTGTCTGTATCAGAGCTGGGGAGCCCTTTGAATGCTCTTTCTCACTCTCTTTCCACTGCTGCTGGTTGATGCATCTATGATTATCTTATCATGGAACAAGCATTAAGGACTGTCACTCTAATTAAAGAAACACCTGATCAAAATAGAATTCAACTATTTTCCTTTATAAAGATTATGGATTTTCAAAGAACTCTTCTACAGAAACTCAGATTCACATAAAACATAATGAGAATCATTCGTTCTGCTTTGAGGTTTCAGGAGGCTCTTCAGAATCATATATTGGCTCTAGGATAGATTTTCTTATTATACATTGTACAAAAATATAAAGAAGTGCCAATTTGATGGAAATATACTGAGGTAAATTTGAACTCTTCAATAAAGGCACTGTAAAACAGTTTCTTTGCAGAACAGAGGAAAATGTACCACTGTCATTAGAACATTACTTCCTAAATTATTTTCCATGGAACACTGAGCATAGAGATGTAATGTTTTGACGAAAAAATAAGTTTCCCTGGCCAATATGTTTTGGAAATACTGCATGGCCCAGAGCAAATTATCACATGCAATGCTTTAGGGGAGTTCTGCCGTAAAGGAGTCAGTTTACAGCAACAGTCCTCAAACCTATTGAGCAAAGAGAGGGTTCCCTTTAAAATGCATGCATTACCTAGGAGAACCCAGGAACACACTTTAGGAACTGTGGCATTGTCAGCCGAGTGATCTTCCCACTTGCCATGGCCTTAGGCTGTCATGAAAGTAAATGCACTGAAACACCGAGCGTGAAAAACTCTGCATAAAAGTTACACTGTTCATCACATTTCTAATGGAATTATTCATTATTTATAGATTGGAAGGGAAAAACTTTTTAAAAATCTCCCTGGGAAAGACACAATAAATTTACAATCTTCTCATCTCTATCTGTGGTGGAGATGGGAAACACAGAATGATGGATGTAAAAGGCTTTCGGGGAGAGAAAAGGCATAAAGGTAAAGGTCAGTGCACACATGTCTGTGTGTGTGTGCATGTATGTGTGTGTGGGGGGAGGGTATGCATTGCCCATGTGTGTTTAGGTTGTGTATAATGGGTGGAGGGGGATGAATGTGTGGTATACAGGAGGGGGTATGGGTTTTTTGTGTGTTGGTGTAGGTGTGGTTCAGAAAACTGGCCAGATCTCAAACAAGCTTTAAAAAATAAGAACACACACACACACACACACACAACCAAATGAAGCCAGGGGCTCAAGGGCTAGAAGGCAGACTCTATTTAAAGTTAAAAGAAAAAACAAACTCCTGGAGCTGAATCCTGATCAAGAAATAACAGAGAATGAACGTCAAAGCAGAGAGAGGGAGGGATATTTGCTTCTGCATGATTTGGGAGTGACTTAAGAAATATCTAGGCAGGTGTCTTTCCTAGCACACTTCAGGGTCATTTCAGACCAGCAAACAGCCTCTTTCCTGCATCAGCGCCGCCTGTCCTCACCTCTCTGTGCGGCTGCCCTCTACTGGCGGGAAGGGGCGAAGCAGCATCCCGGATCAAAACTCTCCTCCCTGGTCACAGAGGGAGTATTTTTAAGTGGGTAACAGGCCAGCACCAGAGAAAGGGCAAGGCCAAGGCTTCCTGTCTCCCCCTTTAGACTAAGGTGTGCCCCTGCGAGAGGATTTTATGCTGTTTCCTACTATTTAACGTATTTTAATCCCCTGAGATTTTACATGTTAAGTACGTAAGCCTCATTTGTATTCTTAAAGCTCATTTAGTCTTTTTATGCTTTTGATCTTTCAGTTCCATCTTATATTGTCATTTTAGTTTGTTTTAAAATTGCAGGCCTACATTTCTTTATCTGTTTCTTTTTTAAATGAGACTTTAATTTCTTTTTATCTCACCTATTTTCATTCTGCTTATTTGACTTGCATAACGTTGCATGTTTTACAATTTTTACTTATTGTATTCTTTATTAACATCCTTAATTTTACAAAATGATGTTGCGTTCTTACATTTTAAGGAGTGGCAGTTGGAAAGCATGGCCTTAAAGAAAGCACCCAAAACAATTCATCCCCAAGCATAGGAGGTTAGGATTCTATTCTTCCATCAAGTCAGTGATTAATGGTCTCTTCTAGTCCTACATAATTGATCCCCCATTACTCCCAATGTTGAACTCTATAAAAATTTTAACTTGAAATAATTCAGGAGTCTATATAGTTCAAAACTGCTTCCTAGAATACATTTACCTCCTCACTGCACGTATAATTGTTAGAAGAGCGCTGCTTTTATTTTTTTTTTATTTTATTATGTTAGTCACCATACATTACATCATTAGTTTTTGATGTAGTGTTCCATGATTCCTTGTATAACACCCAGTGCTCCATGCAGTACGTGCCCTCCTTAATACCCATCACCGGGCTAACCCATCCCCCCACCCCCTCCCCTCTAGAACCCTCAGTTTGTTTCTCAGAGTCCGTAGTCTCTCCCCCCCATCCCCCCCTTCATTTTTCCCTTCCTACTATCTTTTTTTTTAACATATAATGTATCATTTGTTTCAGAGGTACAGGTCTGTGATTCATTAGTCTTACACAATTCACAGCAGAAGAGCCCTGCTCTTAAATCACAGCTACCATCCATTCTCTCTACAAGGAGTTCTGTGATAGAAATTTCAGTACAATCATGGGAAACTGAGTCATGCTTGATGCAGGCTGATACAGTAGGAGGCAGAAAAGAGACCTCTGCAAAGCAAGAGGTTGAATACATTACAGATGGTTTGATAGGTCTACAATTTGGTGCCCTTAATACTACTTTCTCCATCTTATTGAAGAGAA